GACAAGAGCCCAGGACCCATCACGAGGTCGGAACTCATTGTGTAGGCTTCAGGTGTTACTGTGTCACTTGACTTACAATGGGAGATCATGCACAGCATGGTCCATGTCCATAGGGGAGTCACAGACTAGAAGGAAGAGGACATTTTGCATTAGGACCTGGAAGGATGCCTAGAAGTCTACCAGACAGATGAGATGTGAGAGGAGGTACATTCTCAGCAGCGACCGGAAGATCAAAAAGCCAGAGAAACACAAGTTGTTTGTCTAAGCAGTGTCAAGCACTCGGTGTAGCTGAGGCCTAAGGCACGAGATGAGTGGGTAACTAAGGATAAAGACGGGGAAGCACAAATGAGATGATGCAGCCCATGTCAATATCCATCCATCAGGGGCTGGTAATGGGGAGGATGGGGGGCACAAACGAGGGGTTTATGAGAACACCACCTTCTGCTCACACTGTAAACACAGCACTACTCTTTTAAAAACTCTAATAACTGTGAAAAGGAAAGAAGTGGTCAACACAGCACTGCTCTTTTAAAAACTCTAATAACTGTGAAAAGGAAAGAAGTGGTCAGAGTGCCAGCTGAGAAGAGTTCAGCCCTGACTGTCATCCAACCAAACACTTCAACAAGGGAGGGACAGCTTTGCTCTGTAAAGAAACCCAGTAACCAATCCTTCAAGAAGAATCAAGACAGAGAGAACCCAGTGCCGTTAAGAAGAAAACAACAGAAGGAAGGTGAGGTCAGTATGAATGAGACAGGAATGGTGGGAAGGAGATGGGACACCAGACAGTGTCCAGACAATAGGATGCGGTGACAGCTGTCCCTGTGCATCATGGGCTGTGGGAAGGTAAAGCAGCGTTTGCTCTGGCTTCTGGTTCGAACTGTGTATATACAGTGGTGTGGACAGACAACAGAGACAGACGGAATGGAGACCATGAATGTGGTTTTTACCTGGGGTGTTATTTTACCTGCCAAACACACATGTGTACAGAGGCATCTCACAATACAGATGTGGAATGTGGAGAAGAGACCAGGGGCGTCCCAGAGACTGCTGGATACCATGAACCACACTCCATCTGTGCAAGAATGCATGATTCAACCTATGGCACACTGAGTGATAGCATAATGTGGGTTAGGCCAGTGGACAGGGTCCTGTCTGCTTCCTGACATGATTCTTTATATGGGGGGCGAGTGCCAGTAGCTACTTAGCTTGTCCATCAAGAAAGACATAAACTTCCTGGAATACCTTTTTAAACTACTTTTTAAAAATTGTGTGTGTACTTTGTCTGTGTGTAACCCTGTGTACCACAAGCTTCTCTAGTGCCTGGAGAAGCAAGGAGGAGGTGTCATTTTCCCTGGGATTGGATCACAGACACTTGTGAACTGGCATGTGGGTGCTGGGACTTGAACCAAGGTTCTCTGAAAGAACAGCCAGTGCTCTTAACTGCTGAGCCATCTCTCCAGTCCCATAAAACTCTTATTTCAGACATGTTTATACTAGGCTTTTGTATAATATTATGGGTACTATAGCTACTTAACAAATTACCCCCAAACTAAATGGTATTAACAATCATTCATTGTGCTCATAGATTCATTGGGTCAGGCATGTGCATAGCAAACAGTCAGACGCTGTGTCTCCACACCACTGTCTGGGGCTGGGTCACCAAGAGGTCTGTCAGCCACAAGCTGGCCGCTAATGCTGGTTGTTGACTATCAGTCCTCATTTTTTGTCCATGTGGGAACTGCCCTGTGCACATGGACTACTTTAATACCTCCCAGCATGACAGATGACTGAGTTCTTAGGGTGGAGTCCAGAAAGACAAGAATAGACAGACAGAAAAAAACTACCTCTTATTATCTAGCCCTGGAAATTGCTCTGTGTCACTTCTGCATGAACCACTGGTCAGAGCAATCATCAGCTTTCAGTAAAGCTCATTCATGTTAATGGTCAGAGTGAATGATGCGGACCCCAACCATCCCTCTGTCCGGGAGGAATAAGAAGTACGTGTGGGATGGAAATTGGCACCGCTGCCTTTGGAGGTTGACTCCATCCTGTGGAAACCACAGGACCGTTTCAGTTCATATGTGTCTGTAGTCAGGTTGTGGAGTTAAATACTCATGAACACAGACAGGAGAGGGCAACGACTCAAGCCAGCGAACTTCATCTGTGTAACCTTCCCTGTTCCTGGAGAGGAGATTCACACCCAAATAACAAGGATAGTCACTCACTGAGGACTGAAATCTGATGAGCTCACCAGAGAAACTCACACTTCTCTTCACCTACATAAGCATCCCAAGTGGGCCTGTTGAAAGCCTGTGGGTTTGAGACATGGACTAGTATGTAGGGGTCAACTCAAGAGGCAAGTGGGCCTATTGAAAGCCCCACAGGACACAGTATCCCACCGTCCTGTACACAGACAGCTACACCAAGGCACACCCAACTCTGCCTCCCCCAAAACAGGTAACTCCTCATCAGGATTTGTTGCCTTTTGGTGCTAATATACACATTAAAAGAGTGAAACAGAGTCAGGCAGTGGTGGTGCATATCTTTAATCACAGCACTCGGGAGGCAGAGGCAGGCGGATCTTTGTGAGTTAGAGGCCAGCCTGGTGTACAAAGCTACACAGATAAATCCTGTCTCAAAAACAAAAACAAACAACAACAAAAAAGAGTGAAGCAGAAACAGAGTTCAGAAAAGAAAACAGTAGACATATTGGTAACTGTGCCTTTAAAACCAGGACATGAAAAAAGTCATTTATTTTTTTCTACATAAAACACTAAAGAGTATAGATATAGAAAGAGCTTGTTCTTACCAGCCTAGTTTCTCTCTACAAATTCTTAGTTGCTTAACAACTACCATTTAAACACACAAATAAACATATCATAACTAAGAACCATAACCCATGAATGCAAACATGGGTCAATTTGCCAAAGAAATAGAAAGAAAGGCAATCTTCCCCATAACCAATTAAAAAAAAGATCTTCAACAAAATTTAGCAATGCCTCTGAGGTATTTTTAAAATTTTAAATATGAACTTATGTGGAGATTTTATTGTAATAAAGCTACACTAGTCTCAGTACTGACATCTAGTCTACCGGCATCCCCACTTAATCAGGCTCAGTGGGAACACCACTGTCTCCATCGCATTCAGGATAGAAGCCAACACAATCAGACAAGAAAATAATCATATACAGGAAGAATAGTTTACTTGGAGGCCATAATAGGACACCTGGAAACTCCAAAACAATCCATGGCAAAAGTAGACACAACTGAAGAAGAATTTGGTAAAACAGCAGAATTTAAAGTTAACGTAAGATAACCCATCATGAAAGTCCAATAACACACCCTAGGAATACAGAGAGATATACATTGCCATGCATGGCTTCCAGGGATGCAAAATAATAAACCACCTATGGGAAGAAGTATGATTATATTTGCCAGAATTACATTTTTACTTAGCTCATGACCCAGAATCTCATTCCTAGTCAAGTGTCCCAAATAAGCACTAATAAAAATGAAATTTTAAAGCATTCAAAATAGGAAGTGATGAGCAATCTTTAGCATGATAGGCATACAAAAGACAAGACACTGTGACAGATAAAACAAAAGACTACTACTCACCCAGCACTGCCGGTAGCAGCAGAGAACTAGAAAACACCCCCAGTATCCAGCAGCAATGTGGAGCCGATTAAACTAGCCCACTGTCATAGCCACTGAATGCAACGGTACACAATGAGGAGCACTGAAGGGTGTGCAGTGTATACTGTATTATTTTCTGATCTCCAAGTGTGGTGCTTTCAATGAGAATGTGCCCACAGGCTCAGATGTTTGGATACTAGCTCCCTAGTCAGTGGCACTGTATGGGTAGGCTTAGAAGGTATGGCCTTCCTAGAGGAAATATGTGACTGAGGGTGGGTTTGTCACTTTGGGGTTTTAAAAGTCATGTGCAATTCCCAGTGTGCTCTTTTGCTTCCTGCTTTCGGTTCGAGACATGAGCTCGCAGCTTGCTGCTCCAGCTGCACGCTGCCTGCTGCCAGGCTTTCCACTGCGATGGTGATGAATTCTTACCCCTCTAGAATCATAAACCCTTCCTTCCATAAGTTGGTTTGATCATGGTGTTTTACCACATCAACAGAAAAATAACAAATACACCACGATGCATATTTATTTTGTTGGGGAGGGGGAAAGGCAAAGTTGAGAAAAGTAGACCCGTTGTAGTGGTGTACACATAAAACCACCCCCAGTACTCAGGGCCCAGATGAGGCAACTGTGAGCTCAAGGCCAGTGTGGCTATGCAGTAAGGCCCTGCCTTAAAAGTGGGGAGAGAGGCCAGCTATGCACAGTAAGCTACTGTTCATCTAATAGGAAAGGAATGAGAATGAGTACGCACTATGTGTGACTTACTACACACATGACAACTTCAAGAGTGTATTTTGGCTAACAGTTCCAGAAGAATAGATGTCCATGATGGCAGGAGATGCATGGCAGCAGATGCATGGCTAGGGTAGGAAGCTAGAGACCACACCTCAGCGTCACACAGGAAGCAGTAATGTGAAACTCTAAACACTAACAACCTACCCCCAGTGACATACTTCCTCCACAAGGCTACTCCTTATAAAGGTTTCATAAATCCCAAACGGCACCACCAACCGGTGACCAACTGTTCATATATGAACCAATGGGGGACATTTCTCCTTCGACCACTGCAGAAGGCTAAACAAACCAAAGCAAAAGAACAATAATGCTTCTAAAATGAGGTTATCAATGGAGAGAAAGGAAACAGAGTGGGGAGGCAAGCTAGACTTCGATGAATCTATCTTATTTTATAGATTCATCTTTGGAATGATGTATTTTCCTTATCCCTAAAACAAGAACCGCAATGAAGACAGACTGCCATGACTGTCTGAACGATAAGCAGGCTTCCAGGGAAGAAGTCGGGTGGTCAGAGGCATTGCCAGAAGAAGACACTTGGAGGAGCAGAGGGGCTACACCTTATCACTTACCTCAACTTTGCTCTCAGCTTCGTGGTCAGCAGCAGGGAAATACACAACCTCTTGCACTTCATCTCTAGGTCGGGCTGAGTTCTTCCCAAACACCACCAAACCATCCTTAGCTCGAGGTGGCAAAGCCACAAAACAGTAACTTGGAGGAGCTCCAGACATCCTGCAACGAGAAGAGCGGTGAGGGATATGGCAGCAGGCTGGACAGGGGACACTCCAACTGCCTGTGCTTGGCTCACACATCAGCAGCTAATGCGGCCTAACACAGAAGAGGATCCCGGCTAGCGCTAATCTAGGGAATCTGAAGTAGAACTGCACAGGGGCAGAAACCGCACATGCTTCGTCATTCATGGGGCAACAGGCCATAGTTGCAGCCAAAAAAAAGAGCAGTGATGTAGGAGAAAGGAAAAGAGGTTATTGCTCCCAGCACCACATATGAGCACACATACATGTGCACACACACACACACACACACACACACACACACACACACAGAGAGAGAGAGAGAGAGACAGAGAGAGAGAGAGAGAGAGAGAGAGAGAGAGAGAGAGAGCAATCTGTCACATGAGCAATCTGTCCCATGAATAAGTGATATGCACTTGTCTTTTGGTATTCACAGGAGATTGATGCCAGGACCCTGCAGAGACACCCAGGTCCCTCATTTAAAAGGGTGCAGAATTTGCTTATAACCTATACACATGCCTAAAACAATGTAAATGCTACATAAATAATTCATATACCATATTGTTTGGGGAATAATAAGACGAAATAGCCTGTGCGTGTTCAGTTCAGATGTGATTCCCCCATGCTGTATTTCTGATCCTCAGTTGTCTGAACCCACACATATAGAATTGGTGCCGACGCAGTGAGCCAACTCTCCCTTGTAGATGTGCCTTGGACCAGAGATGCATGGTGGCCATCACTAAACCGATCTGGGCATTATGAGGAAAATGTTGTGGAGATGTGAAAGGTGTGACCATTCTTTTGAAATAATTTTTACTCTGCCTCAATGGCATAATCGATAAGTTCTTTGGGCTTTCCTCCACCTCTCTATTGGCTCTTGGGCTGGCTTGTTCTCATTTCCCCTGGGTGCGGGTGGGATGCAAACATTCACAGATTCCTTGCACCAATAACTTCGACAGCTAAGCCCTGCTCAGTTCTCAAACTGAGTTTCCAATCCCTCTACCCAGCTAACTCTCTGATGTCAAAGGCCGATCTTTCTCAAACTGGGTCCCTTCTCCCAGATCTCGGGGACCAGCTCCACCATCCATCCCACTGGAGAACCAGGGACTCAGAAGCCATCCTTACCGTCTGCTTCACCATCTCCGACAGCCCTCTGGGAATTCACCATCTCCTTTCACCCCAGCTGCCACAACCCCGCACCCCATCTCTAGCTGGGATCACATGGGAGTCCTTCAGCAATTTCTGAAAAACCCATTTCCCACTTTAAAACGCTCTCCACATTGCTGCCAAAGCATCTTTTTAAAAAAGCATGCCATCAATCATGTAATCTCTACATTAAATACTTTCAAAGTCTATGCCAGCTCTTAAAACAGAGGCCTGGTGAGTAAAGTGTGATCAGCCTGTGTTCCCTGCCTCGGTTTCACCTCACGTCACTCGCCCCTCCACCCTCAGGAGCACACAGGCCTCTTTCCAGTTCCCCAGCATCCCAGGGATTTTCCTCCACTCCCCCTCCACCCCTATTCATTCTGTGGTCCCTGTGCAGCCGAGTATTTCTCACAGCTCCCATCCAAGTTCAAACACCATTCTAACCCACACGATCACATTACACCTCTCATAAAAGCCTGCCCTTTACTTTTGAAGTAACAGCCACAATCTGAACTACTCTGTAACCATCTCATTGTTGACAATTTGATAGTCTCTCGCTCCAAAGACCACACACAACATGAAAGTCTCTTAACACACCGCTGCAAACCCAGACCCGCACCATGCCTTGTGCCGAGTGGGTTTTCAATAGACAAATGTTCCTTTCTTGTTTGCCAGCATTCTGCAAACTGAGAAGTTTCTGTCTACAAGTGTCTGCTTTGCCATCAAACCTCTGCACCTGGCCTGAGGGCCCTTTCCCTTAGGCTTTTCACATATTAGGATGTGACTCAAAGTTGCTTCCGGAGAGTTCTAGAAAGAGCTTGGCCAGTTATTCAGCATTCATGAGCACTAACACATTCAGTCTTTCCTAGAGTAACGTACACTTGTTGCTTGTAAATATATTTATTCATCTGCTTAAAAAAGAAGCCCCTAAGGGCAGGACCCATGCCACCCAATACAGTGGCCCCTTCTCCAAGTCCACCACTAAAGACATTCGCTGAGCCCAATTTCAGCCTCTACCATCAGCTAATCTCACCCTATTCCATGTGTCCAGAATTCAACAGAAGTAAAGCCACAGCCTCTCAAAAGCTCTAAACAGCAGTTCTGAACCTGTGGGTCTCAACCCATTGAGGGTCAACAGATATTTACATTACTATTCATAACAGTAGCAAAATTACAGTTATGATGCAGCAGCAAAAATAAGTTTATGGTTGGGGGCACCACAACCCGAGGAACTGTATTAAAGAATCCTATTAGGAAGGTTGGAAACCACTGCTCTAGACTGAGACTCACAGCTCAGCTCTGCCAGCTACCAGTTGTGTAACCATGGCCAAACCACTCTACCTCTCTGAGCCTTGGTTCCTCTTCTGCAAAGGTTCTTTGTCTCGCCTCACATGCTTCTTCTTACAAACATCAAGTTAAATGACCCAGAAGACACACTTAACAAATGTTAAAGGCTGTGTGCGTAGAAGATACCATGGGGGTTGACTATTAAAATAGGTCAACATCCCAAATTTCCCCCTGAGAAAGCCTGTCAAAACTGACTAGCTTCATTCACCCCGACAGCAGCTATCAAGTCTCAGAGTCAGCCATGTTTAAACCACCTTCCTGGTTCTATGTCCAGGCCACACCAAACACAGGTCTTTCATTCAAAAGAGATATTTGCAGAATACACACAACCCAAGAGGTCTGTAGCAATCACCTATTCTTCTGCTTGCTCAGCAAGTCAGCGGGGTCATGAAGAGGACACCAACAACAGAAGCAGAGCAAGGTGGGAATCAGGGAGGCTGGCTTTTCCATTGGGTTTTATGGTTAACCAGGAATGCTAGAAGACAGTGGGATCAATCAATCAATCAGCCAGTCTCCCCCCCCCTCTCTCTCTCTCTAGCACTCAAGTGTGTGTGTGTGTATGTTTGTTGTTAAAAGACCCCGCAAACTACCTCACAACCATCAGCTGAGCAAACTGTCAATGTAATTTGCCTGAGTCCCATCTACTAGCCTCAGAGATGACTCAGCAAGACTCCTGGACAGCTGTTGATGAAAATGTCATGTCTCCTCACTCCAGCATGGTGACCACTAGCTTTTGTAGTTACTGGAGTACATTCAGTTTGGCTACAGAACAGAACTGTCAACTTTATAAAACATGCTTAACAATTTACACGTCAGCTGCCATATGTGACATCTCAGAACTCAATTAAGTGAATCGGCCATACTATTTCCAAAAGAAACCCAGAAATGAAGATTTCCACATCAATGTTTCTGCTAATCCCTAAGCACTTTGGGAACACTCCCATTTACCCAGTGACTGTTCCGTCAGGCACTAAAACTGAATTAGCGCCAGTTGTAGAGCATGGTAGCAGACCTTTATTCCTAGCATTCTGAAGGAAAACTCTGTGAGTTGAAGGACAGCATAGTCTACATAACAAATTCCAGCCCAGACTACATAGTGAGACCCTGTCCCAAAACAAAACAAACACCAACAAAAACCTCCTAAAATCAGGAAAAAAAAGAACGGGATCCTTCTGAAGACTGGGGAAAAAAACATCAGGAAGCAGTCACTGACTTGGTGTGAGTAGCTCTGGAGAAGGCACTAGACATTCTGAATGGGTATTCTTTTTATTGACATGTGAGTATCATGGCGCTAAGGCAGAATCCACCAGGAAGATGGCCTCATTTTAACCTGCAGTATTTTGTTTACTTCCTCTCCTTTGTTTCTAAGTGATTTTTGATGCCTTCATTATTTTCCCTTCAAACTTCCTCCCATTTCCTTTAAGCAGGCATGACTTCCTAGCTCCCCAAAGAGTGCTTAGTGTGCAGGGAAAAGCCCATGAGGCCTCACTCTTACACAAAGAACCACGGCAACTGAGCAAAGCTGGGAGCAAGAGAGGTGGCCCTCCAGGGAAGAGCACATCAAATGGTTGTCCAGTGTCAAATGGTCATCCCTAAACATACAGACAAGTAACATTATAGGGACGTAACAGGTTATATTTAGGAATATATATGCATATACAAATAATGCATGCATGAAATAACAATCAGTGAAAACAGGCCATGTATTTGAAGGAGAGCAGGAAAGACAATATGGGAGGTATGATGGGTGTGGGATAAGGAAGAAATGCTGTCATTGCAATCTATAAAAAATAAGCTGTGTGTGTGTTTATGCAGCGGGACAGGAGGAGACTCACTGGTGGTAAGAGTGGCATCTCTGTGCCACCGAGCCAACACTTCCCTAATCCTATGCTGTTGTCCTTTGTGGGTTATAGAATGGAATAGGTGCATCTCACACACGGAGGGTCAGTAAGGTCATAGGCAGTTCAAGGTTGGGCTGTATACATCTATACAGATACCTATGTGTAGACACTGAATCGACACAGTGGGTCTCAAGGAAAAAAGCCTTAAAAGCAGCTGACTGAGCGGTAGGCCTACTGATTATGGCTGCTTTGTGGCAAATGCTGATTAGGATTCTTGCCAGGCTTCCAATTCAGTGCTAATTAATGAAACACTCCAATTTAACTCCCATCAATGGTGATGCTAACAGGCATCTCCCAAGTTCACATCAGGAACGTTTTAAAGTGCATTTGTGCTCTCTAGGTCTTCTAAGTAAATTCTTTAATTAGTTATTTAATGGCCATGCACTGGAGGAGAGGGGACATGGAAATAGATAGGAAGCTGGGATAACTATCCTAATCAGAAATACATAAATGCCTTGTGGCAGGTAGAGAAAGGGAGTCTGATTATTTCTTAGCTGTCACAGTGTGAAAAAATATCCGGTATGTTATTTCCCACCCCCATATCCCAGTCAGTTATCAGTGTAAGTTAGCAGCTTTCCGTCCAATT